GTTTGATTAAAACAGGAGTGTGGTGGGAAGCAATAGTGGGGGTATCCGTGTCCCAGACCTCGGGGCGGACTCCAGGTAGGAGCTGGATTTTGGGGTCTGGGTTAAGCTCAAGGTCGGGACTTGGCACCAGTGCCAGCAAGAAGGTCTGTTTCGGGGAGAATGAGATGCTTGCCTGGAGTTTGGACAGAATGTCTCTCCCTAGGAGGGGGACTGGACATGAGGGCATGACTAGGAAGGAGTGGGAGAACGGGTGACCCTCAAATAGGCAGTTAAGGAGGGTCGTCCGCCGTGGGGTCGAGGGTGATTCGTCGATTCCCATGACCGAGACCTGGGAAGGAACCGTAAGGCCCGAATGAGAGGGAAGGGCAGAGTAGGCAGCCCCCGTGTCTACTAGAATGGAGACAGACTTACCCGCTACCCGGAGCGTGACCCTGGGCTCAGCGAGGGTAACCGGAGTCGAAGAGCCAGGGCCCCCTCAGTCGTCCATTAGCCCCAGCAGTTCTAGGGCCGGGAACGTCTGGTTCTCAGTCCCCCTGCATTGAGGTGCTGAGGGCTGAGCCAGGGTCGGGCAGTCCCACTTCCAGTGGCCCATTTGTGTGCATTGAGGGCAAGGCTTGGTGGGGGGCCTAGGCTGCGGACAGGCCTTCGCCCAGTGGCCTTCCTTTCCGCATTTGAAACAGGCGCCCGGGGGCGTGCGCTGCCCTCCTTTGGAGGTCAGTTTTTTTTGCCGGTTCCCCTGCGGGCTGGAGGGCTGCTACCAAGGCTTGAGTCTGGAGGCTAAGTTTCTGTTGCAGCTGCACCTGCCAGGCCGCTTCAGCCGTCTCCTCCCGGGCGTTAAAAACTTTAAAAGCCATTTTTACCAGGTCTCGGATGGGAGTCTCAGGGTCCTCTTCAGCCTTTTTTAGTTTTTTCTGATATCTGGGGCGGACTGAGAGATAAAGTGAGATGCTAGGATTGTGGTCCCGTTGCGGGACCCCGGGTCTAGGCGGGTATAGCGAACCAAGGCCTCCTGAAGGCAGTTGAGAAAAAGGGCCGGGTTTTCTTCCGGGAGTTGAGTGACTTCTCTCAATTTCTCATAGTTTACTACTTTATTAGAGATTGCGTCCATACTTCTAATTAGGTATCGGAGCATTAGGTTCCGATGGTGGATGTTGGACCCTTGGCCAGGTTGGTAGTTCCAATTAGGGTCCTCCCCGGGGACCGCCTCTGTGCCTAGGGGGATTTGGTCATCTATTAGGTGGTCCCTGTCTGCCTGCTGCCTAGCGGCAGAGAGGATACACTCATGTTCCTCAGGGCTGAGAGTGTAGGTGCAAATTACTGTGATGTCATGCCAGGTCAGGTCATAAGTCTGGGACAGGTATCGGAACTCTCTGATGTAGGTTGAGGGGTCAGCTGAGAAGGATCCTAACTGCTTTTTGATCTGAGAGAGGTCTTGGAGGGAGAAGGGGACATGTACCCATACCAGTCCTTCTGCCCCAGCCACCTCGCGGAGAGGGGCCAGGACAGTAGGCGGGGATTGGGGAGTGCGAGATCGGGTATGGGCTGCTACGGGAGAGCCGAGGGGGTCAGCGGGAGGTGGGGCAGCTGGAGCCGGGTCAGGACAGGGGGGAGGCGATAGGTGATCAGGGAGGTCATCTGGCAGAGAGTAAAGAGGGGGGTCTATAGGAGGTGCCTTTGGAGAAGGGGAAGTCTGGGCTAGGAGAATCTGGAGAGTGGAGCAGTGTGAGCAAAGGTCAGGGCGGGAGCGGAGGTCCCAGAAAGCCTGAATGTATGGAATCTCAGAGTCCTTTCCGGTCCGCCGGCAAAAATTGTCCAGGTTCCGGAGGACGTTGAAGTCAAAAGTACCCATAGGCGGCCAGTGAGACTGGTTGTCTAGGGTGTATTCAGGCCAAGCGACCTGGGACAAGAAGATGAGTTTCTTCTTGTGGAGGGTCTGAGAGTATCCCAATTTAGAGAAATTTATAAGAAGACATCCCAAAGGAGTCTTAGGGTCTATTTTGGATTCGGAGTTCCCCATAATTTAGTAGCCTTCCGGACCCCTAAATGTCGGAGGAGAAAAGGGTATGAGGGAGGCGTCCCTTCCAGATACCCGGCTCCAGACAGTGATAGAGGGGTGAGTGAAAGGCGTCCCTTTCAATCAGGCCCCCTATATGGACTCCAGGAGTCGGTGAGGGGAGGGCTGTCAGCTTGGCTGAGTCTAGGACGAGAGACCCCAGCGGGGACACAGGGGTCCGGCAGGAAGGGAAAGGGATCGAATTACTTATGGCGGGAGCTCCGAATTCAAGGCGGTGGAAGGGGGCACGAGGCAGGGAGAGAGAGGGGGGGACTCTCGCCCCAGCCTGGACCGGGGTGGGTCGCAAAACCCTTCTCCCAGGTTTTGGCACCAAATATAAGGTAGCCAGGTGCCGCAGGTGAGAGGTGGAAAGAAACCAAAGACCCAAACAGCCAAATAAGCAGAAATCAGGCTTTATTGGGTACACTCCGGGCGGGTTAACAGACTCCGGGGGTCGAGTCCTAGAAGCCGCGCCCGATGGTGGGGTTTGTGCTTTTTATATCTGCCCATTGCAGCTGGGATTTGTCTGTTAGGGCTTGACCTTGCGGGGGCTATGCATGGGAGCCTCTGGAATATGAGTCGATAAGAGCAGGATGGGAGTTAGTCTACAAATCCGGGGCAGGCGGTTCCCGGGGCAGGCGGTTCCGGAACAGGGTGGGAGGCTAGGCTGAGCAAGCGAGACAATGGTCGAGCAGTTTGCCTGGCGCCAGTCCCCAGGCTATCGGACACGAGGTACACGCCCTTAGTGGGAACCGAACCTGGGTCTCTCTGGACTGCAGGTTGATGCTCTAACTGCTGAGCCAAACCAGCCAGGGCTTGAGTTCCTTTCTAAATCATACTGACTAATGGGACCTTGGATAAACCATCAGATATCTGGGAGCCCAATTTTGTAAATCTGTCATGTATTCCATTAAGTCTGGAGAAGTGCCATTAAGGTAAATCTCTTGGTTAGATATTATAATGCCTGTGAGGTGCTATTACAACTAACATCATCAAAATCCTTAACTTGTCTAGATTCTTTCCGCATTTGCAACTTGAGTGTACTAGAACTGTAACTTTTTCTTTTTTTTTTTTTAATTTATTTTATTTTTTAGAGAGAGAGAAAAGGAGAGGGAGAGAGAGAGATAGAAACATCGATGAGAAATAACATTGATTGGCTGTTTCCTGCATGCCCTCACTGGGGATCGGGCCCACAACCTGGGCATGTTCCCTGACCGGGAATCGAACCAGCGACCTCTTGGTGCATGGGTTGATGCTCAACCACTGAGCTACACCGGTCGGGCGAACTGTAATTTCTTTAACACCTTAGTGGTCTGAAGGATTAATGCAACATCCAGAGGAAATTAATTTAGTTTTATCTATAAGGTATAGTCATATTGGGCCACAAGCACTTGCCAGCAGGCTCCTTCCCACCCTGGGTCTTTTTACTGTTCTCTCTATGGAAGTAACCCACATAGCTTACAATTGTTCTTTGTTTAGATCTTTCCTCAAATGTCAGCAAAGCTTTCCCTGGCCACTCTTGCTTCTAAGCTTTTCCTCCTCCAACATGTCTCATCTCCCTTCCTTGTTTTATTTTTCTTTATGGCATTTATCACTACTTGACATATCGTATATTTTACTGATTTGTTTGTTATTGTCTGTAGCCTTCCATTGGACTCAAGGTATGGGCAGTGTCTGGCCCACAGGCCATATAAGGCCCTCGAAATCAATACCAGTTAACATCACATGCCTCACCAAATCAGCCTGACCAAATATAGCAGGTTAATTTTTTTTTTTAAATCCTCACTTGAGGATATTTTTCCATTTATCTTCAGATAGAGTGGGAGGGAGAGAGACACACACACACACATCAACTGGTTGCCTCCTGCATGACTTCAACCTAGGCTGGGGACCGAACTGCAACCAAGGTACATACCCTTGACTGGAATCAAACCCATGACTCTGGTTCTGGGCTGATGCTCTAACTGCTGAGCCAAACCAGCCAGGGCTGATTTTTATAATTTTAATTATTAATACAGACTGCAGTTCTCAAATGTGTTTGTAAATTGGAAGTTTGTATGGAAAATACACAATTTATAAGAGCCCTGGGCAGGTTGCTCAGTTGGTTAGAGCATGGTTCTTTTTTTTTTTTTTTTTTTTTGGTGCGTGCCCCTAGCGGGAACCGAACCTGGGACTCTTTGGTCCTTAGGCCAATGCTCCAACCGCTGAGCCAAACCAGCCAGGGCTAGAGCATTGTTCTGATATGCCAAGGTTGTGGGTTTGATTTCCAATCAGGGTATATACAAGAAGTAACCAATGAATGCATAAATAAGTGGAACAAAAGAGTGATCTTTATCTCTTTCACTCTTCCCTTCTCCCCTCTGTCTCTAAAAATCAATAGGTAGCCCTGGCTGGTGTGGCTCAGTTGGTTGGGCATTGTACCTTGAATCAAAAGGTGGTCATTTCAATTCCCAGTTAGCACGTGCCTGGGTTGTGGGCTCACTTCTCAGTAGCAGGTGTGCAGGAGGCAGCCCATTGATGTTTTGCTCTCACATCAATGTTTCTCTCTCTCTCTCTTTCTCCCTCTCCCTTCCTCTCTCTAAAATTCAATAAAAATATTTTTAAAATAAATTAAAAATAAAAATTTAGAAAAGAATTAATGGGAAAAGTTGATTAGGTAATTTAATAAGAATTTAAAAGAATTAATGGTTGAGGTTAATTTAAGGATTTATTTTGATAATTTTCTAAAATTTGAATTTTAAAATATAAAATGTCAAAGGTATTTATTTGACTAGTAATTTTAGGGACCTTGTCATTTGATCAGTATGGTTTTCAGGATAATCAAAGCATAATTAACACAAGAACAGAGAATAAACTAATATTTCCATTTTGTTTTTAAGATAGGAAGTTGAAAAATTACCTTTTTTTTTTTTTGTCAAAACTAAATTACTTTCATTTGTATTTATAGGCAAAATCATCAACATTACAGACTAGTAATCTGCCTCCTTCACAGGTAAGAAATCCTTTTTAAGTTTAAGTGCCAAGGTTTCAAGTAAATTACAATCAATTTAGATTACATGGTGCCCTTAAAGAATTCCAGATGAACTCTACCCTTTAAAACTTTGAAGTTAAAAGTGTGTTTATTTTGTATGTAAGTCTGAAGTACTCCTGAAAGTTTATTTACTAAATTATGCTCTGAAATACAGATTATCTCCCTCTCGTTGCCAAGAGATTTATGATTAGTTATATATTTTCAAAATTATGAATTGTTTTTAAGTTTAAAATATGATATATAATAGATTGGTGAACAGCTTATTTTATTTTCTTAGAGACCGTCTTGGTGGCCCTTTGAGATGTCTCCTGGTGCATTAACCTTTGCTATCATATGGCCTTTTATTGCCCAGTGGTTGGTGTATTTATATTATCAAAGAAGGAGAAGGTAATACTATAGTTTTATAATTCAAAGTGATGTATATAAACTCTTACAATAGACAGAGCCTGCAGCTGCAATTAAAAGGATAGATCATTTCATAGATATATTGTCATACTGAATATTCTATACCGATCCTGAGACTGAAATTATTTTGGAAGTGATATCTGGTGAGTTTCTAGGTATTTGGTGGACTTAAAACTTTTTCACTTGAGAGCATCTGGTAAATTTATACACCTTTGATTTAAGTGACAATAAGAAAATGATTGTAGGCTTAGTTTTATGGCTTCTGAGGAAACGGTGTTCTTCAAGTTTGATGTTTCTTTTGGGCCCTTTGCTAATAAAAAGGACAATGGATAGGAAAGGAAGGGAGGGAGGGAGGGAAGAAAGAAAGAAAAAGAAAGAAAGAAAGAAAGAAAGAAAGAAAGAAAGAAAGAAAGAAAGAAAGAAAGAAAGAAAGAAAGTCTACATACTCTATACCTTTGAAATATGGACATTGACATATTTCATTGAACTTGGTAGTTGAATATCTCTAGAAATAGGGATTATTGTTACTTGAGGATCAGAAATTCCAGTTAGAGATGTTAGGAGGTAACTCAAATAAGTCAGAGCATAATAGATTGATTGCAGTTCTTGAAAGTGCTCTAAGATTGTCAAGGTCAGGAATATCTGAGGCCAAAATTCTTGGGTTCAAGAAAATCCTTAAAGCAATTTTTGGGCACTATGCAAACTGAGTTACTTTCCATGGATGGGCTCATAGACAATTGTTTACCTCACTGATGGCCTTACTGATTAGATTTTTTTTGTATTTTGTCACCATTTCCCATTAAGTGACAACAGATGGGGAAAAGAAATAGGATATTTGATAATAAGGTTTTAAGTGCTCTCGTAAATATGTGCAGTGAAACACATTTTTAAAAAATCTACAGGTTTAGCCCTTGCTCAGTGGTTAGAGTGTCAGCCTGTGGACCAAAGTGTTGCTGTTGGATTCTAGTCAAGAGCATGTGCCTGGGTTATAGGTTCAGTCCCCAGCCTGGTTGGTGTTGTGCAGGAGGCAGCCAATCGATGTCTCTCTCTCTCCCTTCCCCCCCACTCCCACTCTGTCTAAAAATGTCAGTGAAAAAGTATCCTCAGGTAAGGATTAAACAAAACAAAAATCTACAGGTTTAAATAATAACAGGTGTGTTGTTCCTCTACCAAATAACCTAAGTTTATAATTATTACATTTGATAATGAAAACAAAAACCAAACATTTACCCTTCTGTGATGTAGAAGGGGTTATCAGCACATTAGTGTAAATGCTCCAGTTATAATATTTTATAGTAGAGAAACCAGAATGCATGTGACATTTGGTGAATTGTTTCCATCTTCCTTGTTCTGTGCTGTATGTTCATACATGAACTAAAGATGTTTTTGATACATTAATGCCTTGGAATATACCTAACCACTAGAAAACACTTTAGTGGGATTTCAGAAGCATAATCTGCTTTTTCAATATTATCTACTCCCTTCCTGGTCTTTGTGTATGTGTCATTCCAGCTATTAAGACATAGACCTTAATTGAAATCCTTTCTTTTCTCCTGTCACACATTTGACATTTCTTCTATGGGGGTTGGCTGCAGTGCTACACAATGTTTTACGTTTTGATTTTCCTGACAATAGGAAGGAAGAAGAACCAAACCTTTTTTCAACATGTAGTAATACAACATGTCATGTAAGCTGCAGGGAACGGTGGCACCGAAGCCAGGTGTTTACATATTTTGCAACACATTTCAAAGTTCCCTTTTACATTTCCTATGTAGAAAGTGGAGAGTTGGAGGGTAGAGAAATTTGGTGTAAGGCAGAAAAGTTACTTTGGTTAATAATTTATGTTCAGGGTTGAAGCATCTTGTCACTTTATTAAAGACTGAAAAAGCAAACTATACTTTGCTTCAGCAGTCACCCAGAATAGCAGCTTTTCTAAAATTATTTTTAAAAATATTCTTTACCCGTACAAGTATACACCGTTTTTCCTAAGGATCCTTTTCAGTTGTTTACAGATGTCTCTGAATAGAGAAATTCTTCCCTATTTTTAAATTTTCTACTTTGTTATTGTTGAATCTTATGAAGTTTTCCATTGTTTGTCAGGTTTGTAGTCCTTCCAAATTGCAAGCTCTACAGCACTGCCTTTGGATGAGATGTAGTGTTTTTATGTATTTTTTGCTTATATATGTAACAAATTAACTGGGGTTAGAGATAGATTCGTGTTAGATTTGTAAATAGGGTTTGGCTTTGGGATTTAGGCAAGGTTTGATCTGGCAGGGTTTAACAGTTTTTAATCTGATGTTACAGGAATAAAGATTAGAGAGCAGTGTATGGTTTGGAGGAGACAGATCTGTTTTGGAGATGAAGATAAAGATCTAGAAATCCTGTTAAGATGGGAAAAGTGTGGGCTGGAGAAGATTTGCCCTACTCATAATAGGGAACATTCTCATCCTCAGCCAGTGTAGGGCATGTAGTAGGCTTTCAGTGACTGTGTGCTGAATGCCCACTCTTGGCAAGATGGCAAACTGAAGTGCCATATGACACAGAAAAGCTTTCATTTTATCTAATAAATATGCATCTGGCCCTGGCTGGTTTGGCTCAGTGGTTGGAGCATTGGCCTGTGGACCAGAGAGTCCTGGGTTCAGTTCCTGCTAGGGGCACGAACCAAAAAAAAAACATGCATCTGGACCCAGACAGACAAACTGAGATAGTTCTATACATATGAAACATAAGTGGCTATTTGTGTTAAGCTTAAAAATTTTTTGCTTTTACATTAAAAGTAATACTTAAGCCTGGCCAGTGTGGCTCAGTCAGTGGTTGAGCATCGACCCATGCACCAACAGGTCGCCAGTTCATTTTCCAGTCAGGGCACATGCCCAGGTTGTGGGCCGAATCCCCAATAGGGGGCATGCAGGAGGAGGCCAATCCATGTTCTCGCTCATTGGTGTTTCTCTCTCTCCCTCTCCCTTCCTCTCTCTAAAATCAATAAAGGGAAAAAAAAGTGATACTTAAGGTCTACTGCTTGATCCCCCCCCCATACTTTTTAAAGAATGTAAATTTAAAAGTAAAAGAGATTTCTCTCATCACTCTGCAGTGGATTTGAAAAACCTTTCTGTATGTGAAATGAAGAACAACAGACCTGTTCAAAAATAGGCCCTGAATGGTCTCCTGTAGTGCCACCTCTCTCCCGTTACCTAGCCTCATAATTCTGTTAAAATGATCCACAATGGGGTGGAGGTGGAAGATGGCATAGAGGGGATAAAAGGTGATGGAGAGCCCTGGCCAGTTTGGCTCAGTGGTTAGAGCGTAGGCCTGCGGTCCGGAGAGACCCGGGTTCGGTTCCCGCTAGGGGCATGTACTTCGGTTGCAGTTTGTCCCCGGCCCTGGTTGGTCGTGCGGGTGGCAGCCACTCGATGTGTCCCTTCACGTCGATGTTTCTCTCTCTCTCCCTTCCTCTCTCTCCCTCCCACTCTATCTGTACAAAAAATGGAAAAATGTCCTCGGGTGAGGGGAAAAAAAAAAAAAAAAAAGGTGATGGAGAAAATAAAGTAGAATACAATTAATACGTGAAGAAAAAAAAATTTGAGAAAGGAAAAATAATAACAGTAGTAAATTGTCCATAAGCTAAATACTGAAAGCAAACCTGTTAAGTCCAAATAACTACCCTTAATGTATTATTTTTTCTGACTACTTTTCTTTATCAGTCTGTGCAGATTGTAAATTTACTGCCATATAGTTTCCTTGGAGCTTTCAGTAGAGACAGTCATTGAAAACCAGGTAGGGGTAAGCCCTCCCTGGGGCATGCTCACTCTAATCTCCTTTTTGAGTGAATTTTCTTTCTCCTAAACTAAGGGTCCTCACAGGACTTACAACCAGGGGAGCAATGGCAGTGGCCACTCATTCCGGGCTCACCCCCTGAACCTGTCCTGCCCTGTTTGCTCTGACTTTTCAGCGAGCCAAAGCAGCCCCACCTAGGCTCTCCTGTTGCTTCTTCTATCCGAAGCCCCTCCTTGTTTCACTGTCCCCAGCTTTAATAAACATACTCTCAAAATAAAGATAACAAAAGAACATCCAAACCGGGTAGGGGTGGGGAGGATCTCAGGAGAAACATGTTTCAGATGGAGCCTGGCATAGATGGTACTGGCCCAAAAAGGCAGGCCCACACTCTGAGGAGGAAAAAGAATCTCAGCAGTACAGCCAGAGTAGAGTTCAACAGACTAGGGCAAAGGCAGAATTTTATTCCTATTCCCTTATTTGTTGCTTTTGTAAATTTTCTTCCCTTATCACACCATACCCTACATTTTGCAAATTAATTTTTTTACAAAAGGAAAGACAGATCTCGTTAAGAGCTGAAAAACATTCTAAAGTTCTGAAGGTAGTGATAGTGATTGATGTCTATTCTTTTTCCCCATGTAATAGAATAATGTAGAAGACTAGCATTTATAGATCCAAGTTGTATAAATCTGCAAAGGATTTTGTGTAGTAGTCTGCATCACATGGATTCTTGATAAATGTTGTTAACTGTTCAGGTACCTCCCAGCTAACATTTCTGCTAACACCTTGCTCAAGCAGTTAGTCTTTAGATCCACCTACAGTTTTATTCCTTCAGAGGCCTTTTATTTTTATGCCATGAGTTACTTAAAAATGGATTTGATTACTTGAAATGTCACTCCTGCCAAGGAGGTGTACCTAAGAAGATTTGTACACAGGATAAGGAATGATCTGATTATTTAAAATATCACTCCTGCCCTGCCATTGTGGCTCAATGGATTAGGTGTTGGCTCATGGACTCAGAGGTCCAGATTTGATTCCTGGTCAGGGCACGTGCCCAGGTTGTGGCTCCATCCCCAGTGGGGTGTGTGCAGGAGGCAGCTGATTGATTTCTCTCTCTCTCTCTAAAAAATAAAAAAATGAAAAAGATATCACTTCTGCCAACGGGGTTGCATAAGAGTATTTCCACAGAGGAGAGGAATCTGTACTGAGACAGTTTCAGTCATTTTGGCATCTTGAGTGCTGGAAGGGTATAGAGATTTTACAGCTGGGGGAACCTTTCCCAGAACTCCAGTCACATATAATTATTCTGTCTTGTGCTAACAAGCCCACCATTCTCTGATACTTTATTCACTCTGCTATCATTAAAACAATCACATTACACATATCTGAATTGTTGGTTTATATGCCCCCTCTCGCCCCACCATCAATTAAACCAAGAAGTCTTTTGAGGGCTGAGAGCCTGCTTCATTTATGTTTAAATCCCCGGTGTCTGGCTCAGTGCTTGCAAAGTAACAGATACATAATATATGTTGATTAAATGAGTAGTCCAGGTTGTACAAATGTCAACTTTTTGTAGTTTTATTAAGCTTTTTTGTTTCACAGCTTTTCCATTTTGATAAATTATGAAATAATTTTTAAAAAATCTGAATTGTATAGCCAACTAGAAAAAGATGAGAATTTAGAAGCTATGAGAGGAGGAATGTACATTTAAATTATTTATTATAAACTGTTTGATAATGTCAGCACTTGCAATTAGATCTTCCCTATGGAGCTATAACTGACATGAAGTAATTTCATAAGGATAATTTGTGACTTTATGGCTTTATTTTGAATTTGAATGTTATGATTATGTTAGAGAATTCTCTTGGCATGGGATGTGTTTCATATTCAGGTTGCAGTTTTGTTCACAGGAAATTGGTTTTCACTTTCTTTTTAAAGAAAACTGAACTGAAGAAAATGGTACTTTACCCAAGAAGACTACTGGGCCTGGATGACCTTGGAATGAAATGGACTGTGGAGCTCACAAGAAAATCCTAGTTTGTGATTATTACATTTCTTTTTGTTGTCCAAAAGTTTGTTGTTTGGTTTGTGTACATACATACATATATATATTTTGCACTACACAAATGATAACATTTTAAGGACTAATATTGCTGATACTTGAATAATCAATCTCAACTAGGTTGTAAGTAGCATATATAGATTTACCTTACCCTTGAACCTGAACGACATTAAATTATTAATTATTGTTTGGTAACATGTTTACCTGATTAGCTTCCATAGAGAAATATAAGCTGCTTAGGTACAGTAGTAATAATGAGATCAGATTTATAACTGGGTATTTTTAATTTTTTAAATTAAATATGAGAATGAATGCAAACCAGGAGTGAATTTCAAGTTAGATTAAATTGATTTTATATCTTAGTCACTGAATTGCCATGTCAAGGAGTAGAAAACTTCTATAATCTTTGTTGGGTATTCACAACTCTGACTTTAGTGTTCAAACAACGTTATTATAAACTAGAGCCCTATATACGAGGCTTAGTTTTCAGAAATGATTCACAGAACAGACATAACCTACTGATGGAAAAGATGAAGAATGGGCTTGAAGTAGGTTTGAAAGTTTATTCTGAGCCTGCAGATCATTAATAAGATTTTTAATAAATTCTATACGTTATTCCTTTGTAATCATTTGTCTTTAACTGAGGATATCGTTTTTCTGCTTCATCAGGTGCTTTGAAATATAAAATAAAACCACTTATTTATACTGTTTTTACAAAGGTCTAAAAGGATACACATGAAAATTACTTTTCTGCAACTGGTAAACTACACAGCCTGGACTCTTAACCTCTTAGTGCCTCAGTTTTTCCTTCGGGGTATAATATTTGAGAAATACCTGTTTCCCAGGGATATGAAACTGATTTGCAAGGTGGCAGGCTGTGTGCTTCCATATGAGTAAGGCACACTCAGTTAACGTACATTCACGTTTCTCTCCCCCACCTCCCACATTTCAACTAAAAAGACTGTAATTTAGATCCTTGAAGGCTTTGTTTGGAATTATTTTTAGATGTACTTTGTACTTTAAAGGTATCTCTGATTCAGAGGCTAAGTAGCAAATGTTTTAAGCATTCTTGGTACGTATGATATTGGGTTTAGCATCACATGTTCAGTGTTTGCAGTTACAGAGAAAGTAAACCGTCTCCTGTATGGAGGGTGGTTCTTCGTTTGCCTGAGGAAAAATGTGTAAGAATACAATTTGCTTTTCTCAAGACTCTTTTTTCTTAATTTTTTCTTTCATGTAAGTTGATGTTTTTATTTTTTACTTCCATCCTGATTAAAATATGTCCATATAGAGGGGTCTACTAATACAAGTTTTTAGAAACTCCTCTTATTTAGGAAAACATTTAAAGTTTAGACCTGTGGATCAGGGATTATTTTCAAAAATTAGATATCAATCTGGTATCAAAATGGTGGCTTTTCTCTTAGTATATAAAGAAATAAAATGCAAATTAAGAATGTAAGCAGTTGTGATTCATTACAAGCAGTTAGGGGTTACTAACTCCTCGGGTTAACTATTTGTATCCTATTCTACAGTCTTATTTTATAGTTTGAAAAGCACTTTGCACACAGTTCTTGTATATATGAATAAAGATGTAATTATAGGATATAATGTTACTGCTTTGTTTAACATGAATCTCATTTAAAATTTTAAATTGACAGCTATGGTATTTTTTAATCGACTTCTTTTTGGTTTCTTTATGGTAAAACTAAGTTAAAAATAAAAGGTTAATGAGAAATGATATGGTTTGTATTACTTGTTACTGTTAGAAGTGCATTGATTATAATATAATAAGGATTAAATGAGAATAAATAGTAGGAATTCATAGAAAGGAATCATACTCTTTCAAAATAAAGCTACGATATTACATATAATTTTATAGAAATCAAACATTGGGATAAAGTTTAATTCATTTAGCCATTTAGTTGAGAATGTTACTGACGAAGTCAGAAAACCTAGTTTCAATTCTTACACCAAAAAGAAAGCTTCCCATAGTCACTAATGCCCCCTTGATCAGATGTCTTAAATATATTCAGTTGTTCCTAGGTGGAAAATGGTGAGAGCATTTTGTGTGTGTGTGTGTTGTTGTTTTTTTTAAATTTATCCTCAGTCAAGGACATTTTCCCATTTTTGTTCAGATAGAGTTGGGGTGGTGGGGAGAGGGAGAAACATCGACATGAAAGGGACATATTGAGTGGCCGCCTCCCGCACGACCCGTCTGGGCTGGGGACAAATCGCAACTGAGGTACATGCCCTTGACCAGAATTTAACCCGCGAATTATTGGTCCGTGGGCTGACATTCTAACCACTGAGCAAAACTGGCCAGGGCAAGGGGTTTTGTGTTTTTAATACAAATACATAACTTGTAACATATAAAGATAATGATAAAAGTGATGTTAGCTATTTGTATCATTTAAGATATTAGTATTCTGCTACATGTAATAGAAACATAACTGCAGTGGCTTGACCAAGTAAGGTTTAAGTTTTTTTCTCATATACAAGGAGTCTGGAGGTAGGAAGTCTAGAGCTGGTAAGGTGCTTCTTCCACAATGCCATGAGGTTCCTTTTGTCTTTCTGTTCTGCCATCTTTATGGGTCACTTTTCTCTTCATGAGTGCTAAATGACTGCTGTACTACTGGGTCTAAGGTCTACATTACAGGCAGGCAGAGATCCTTATCCGGTCAGGAAATTAACTTTCTTGAAAGTCTCACACAGGACACTTCCTCCCATCTCATTGGTAGAACTGGGTCTCATAGTTATGTCTTTGTCTATAAAAATATTATTTGAAGAATAAAATTAGGCCCTGGCCGGGTAGCTCAGTTGGTTAGAGTGTTGTTCCAGTATTCCAAACTTTTGGGTTTAATCCCCAGTGAGGGCACATAAAGAATCAACCCAAGGCCCTGGCCGGTTTGGCTCAGCGGTTAGAGCGTCGGCCTGCGGTCCAGAGAGACCTGGGTTCGGTTCCCGCTAAGGGCACGTACCTCGGTTGCAGTTTGTCCCCGGCCCTGGTTGGTCGTGCGGGTGGCGGCCACTCGATGTGTCCCTTTCACGTCGATGTTTCTCTCTCTCTCTCCCTCCTACTCTATCTGTACAAAAATTGGAAAAATGTCCTCGGGTGAGGATAAAAAAAAGAAAAAGAATCAACCCATGAATGTATGGATAAGTGGAACAACAAACCGATGTTTCTCTCTCTCTCTCCCTCTTTCTCTCTCCCTTCCTCTTTCTCTCTAAAATCATTAAGTAAGCCTGGTCACTGTGGCTCAGTGGTTGAGTGTCGACTCATGTACCAAGAGGCCACCGGTTCAATTCCTGGTTAGGGCACACGCCCAGGTTGTGGGCCAAATCCCCAGTGCGGGGCATGCAGGAGAAGGCCAATCAATATTCTCTCTCATCAATGTTTCTATCTCTCTCTCCCTCTCCCTTCTTCTCTCTCTCAAATTAATAAAGAAAAAAAGAATAAAATTATTTTGTCCATACATATTAGGAAAGGCCAAGCCTTTTTAAAAAAGATAGTTTTTATTGATATTAGGGAGAGTGGAAGGGAGATAGAAATATTGATGAGAGAGAAGCATCCATTGGCTGTCTCCTGCATGCCCCCTACTGGGGATTGAGCCTGCAACCTGGGCATGTGTCCTGATTGGGAATCAGACCGGGGACCTTTTGGTGCGTGGGACATCACTCAACCAAATGAGCCACACGGGTTATGGCTACATCTTTTGGTTTTTAATGCCCCCTTCCTAAGTCCTCTTTCTGATTTCCCTTTCTGCTTCTCAACCTTTGCTTCCTCACTGACTTTATCTCCATTAATCCTCCTTCCCAATTGTACCACATTTTATAAACTGGAAAATGATAAATGTCCTTTTCCCTTTTTTTTTTAATTCTCACCCGAGGACATTTTTCCATTTTTTGTTCAGATAGAGTAGGAGGGAGAGAGGAAGAAAGAGAGAGAGAGAAACATCGATGTGAAAGGTACACATCGAGTGGCTGCCACCCACACAACCCAACCAGGGCAACCGAGGTACGTGCCTTTAGCGGGAACCGAACCCAGGTCTCTCTGGACCACAGGCTGACGCTCTAACCGCTGAGCAAAACCGACCAGGGCAAAGAACTTTTAAATATATACATAGTACAGGTGAGGTATAGCCATTTCCTCCCCCCCCCACCCCCAACCTGGAACACTTCTTTCTTCTAATGAGAGCACCACACTGTCCCTTCCCCCCTGTGGAGAGCTCTTCCGCAGCCACTCTACTTAGGTGATCCTGGTGAGGCTGCTAAATGGAACACCGAGCTGTGCCCATTCCTGCTCAGCCCCAAGCCACAGTATGGGCATGTAACACAAACCCGGTCATTGCATAATCCTATTCTGACTGCAAGGATAGCCCCGGGGATGAACACAGGACTGTCAGTGAGGCGAGTTATTCTTGGTTCATTTCATGAAGCTAGGAGAGAGCATTTTGCTTTTTCCAGAATGTTACATAGTTGGAATCATGCAGTATTATAGCCTTTTCATATTGACTTCTTTCCCTTAGCAGTATGCATTTAAGGACTTCTCCATGTAATTTCATGGCTTCATAGCTCATTTTTAAAAATATTTTTTTTATGCCTGTGTTTCAGTAAAACTATTTACAAAACAAGCACAGGGCCAGATTTGGCCCATGGGCTTTAGTTTGCTGACTTCTGATTTAGATAGCTCATTTATTTTAGCACCGAATAATGTTTCATTGAATAGTTGTATCAGAGTTTATTTATCCACTCACCCTATTGAAGGACATCTTGCTCGCTTTCACATTTTAGCAATTGAGAATAAAGCTGCTATAAACATCTGTGTGCAGATTTTTGTGTGGTCATAAGTTTTCAACTCACTTGGGTAAAGAGCGTGATTGGTGGATCATCTAGTAAAGATATATGCCTGGCCGGTGTGGCTCAGTGGTTGAGCACTGACCCATGCACCAAGAGGTCACCGATTCAGGGCACATGCCCAGACTGTGGGCCAAATTCCTAGTGGGGAGCATGCAGGAGGCAGCCAATCGATGTTTTCTCTCATCGATGTTTCTATCTCTCTCTTCTTCTCTTTCTAAAATCAAGAAAGGAAAAAAAAAGATATTTTTAGTTTTGTAAGGAACAGTATTCCAAAGTGGCTATACTATTTTGTTTTCCCACCAGCAGTGAATGAGCATTCCTGTTAGGTGTGTATTGGTACCTCTATTTTGCACCTTTTTTTTGAATTATAGCCTGTTAGGGTATTACCCTAGAGATTCTGGGGCCATATATCCTGCCTCTTAGATGAGCCCTTACTTAGATAATAAGGTTAACATCTAGACCTAGGAACTTAGAAAAGAGTCAGAAACAGTTCAGGTCCCTTAATCCAGTTAACTCTGATTCCCTCCCCCTCTCTTTATACAGTTAGTTTACATGGGTTAAGAAATTACCTTTTTTTTAAATTTTAAATTTTATTTATTGATTTTAGAGAGAGAGAGAGTAAGATAGAGAGACACAGAGAAACATGGATTTATTGTCCCATTTATTTATGTATTCATTGGTTGATTCTTGTATGTGTACTGACCAGGGATCAAACCCACAACCTTGGAGTATCAGGACAATGGTCTAACCAACTCAGCTATCCGGTGGGCAGGGCAAGAAATTTTCATTCTATTCCAGTATGGTTCTCTTTTCTTTTTTTTTTTTTGGTACGTGCCCCTAGCGGAAACCGAACCCGGGACTCTCTGGTCCGCAGGCCAACACTCCAACTGCTGAGCCAAACTGGCCAGGGCAGTATGGTTCTCTTTTCATGCTGAGTGTTTGGCTGTTTCAGTCTGCATATCTATGTTCTTCAGTGTTAAACAAGCTCTTGCTTGATTTCATTAATAATTTATTTCCTATTTATTTGTTCATTCTGTCTGAATCTCCTATTATTGGGTATTGAACCACCTGAACATGTCCTTGAAATTTATCTTTTCTCTCTTATTTTCTGTCTGTCCTTTTATTCTACTTTGTGGGAGATTTCTTTGCCTTTGAACCTTTCTGTGTAGCGTTCATTTCTACTTCCATATTTTAAAGAATTCTTTAAAATTTTTCTGAATATTCTTTTCTTAATTTACTATACCATTCTATACTATACACAATATTTTTAAACATCTTTCTGAGGATATTAATAATACTTTTGAAGTTTTTTCTGTGCATAGACTCTGTTTCCCCCCAGTGTTTTTTTTTTTTTCCTTCAAAGTATTTTGGTCTATATATTTCAAGAAACTTTTCTCAGTGTCCAATAATCCTTGGATGTTTGCTCATATTTACAAGACAGAGACTAAAAAAACCGACGGGAGGCTGGCTGAGTGGGGGCTGAGGAATGGTAAGCTTCACTGAAGGGTTTTCTGGAAGCCATTCATGTCACAACTTGGGATATATTTTTTTTATCCTCACCCTAGGATATTTTTCCATTTTTTGTTCAGATAGAGTGGGAGGAAGAGAAAGGGAGAGAGAGAGAGAGAGAGAGAGAGAGAGAGAGAGAGAGAGAGAGAGAAACATCGATATGAAAGGGACACATCGAGTGGTTGCCAACCGCATGACCCAACCAGGGCCGGGGACAAACTGCAACTGAGGTACATGCCCTTAGCGGGAACCGAACCCCGGTCTCTCTGGACTGCGGGCCGACGCTCTAACTGCTGAA